TCATGGCCACCAAGACCCCTCGGCAGTCCTGCAAGCAGCCATGGCCATCCCTACAACGGCATGATATTTCTGAATATGGTCTTATGTATGCCATCATCAGAATGAGCCTTCCAAGATGCAGGGATGCGTGAATGTAGTACCCGACACGCGATGGGGTCTTTCCCACCACGATTTCAGATGTGACTTTCGTGACAGTTGCCCCGGCTCTGCTTCACCCCTCCTGTTCTAGGATGAAAAGGCGCAAGGATGCGACGAATAGCTTTGGTCCATATCTGCGAGATACAGACTGTAGTGTGTTCCAAAAGGTTGGTAACATCTCCGCAAACAGTCCATATTTGTCCTACTCTGTGTCCTATAGACCCGAACAACTTGGAAACAGGCGGGCTGTATTCGGGGTATCGACTTCTCTAGTTCTACGGGAACTCCTCTGCTGTATGATAGGAAATACTCATTCGAATTGATGTGTGTCAATTGTTCGGCTCTAGCCCTCGTTCGCTCTTTCGTATTGCGGAGACTTGGAGTTTCAAAGTATATCCAAGCAGAGTGACGCATCCGGCTGGGCGCTGTGACAGTTTTACCTCATGGGAGGGAGTCCATGAGACGGATGAATGGAAAGGTACCCCCCAAGAAAAGGCGTTCGACAGCAAACAAAGAGACCCTGAGGGATTGGGAGAGCGATCGGGGACGTTTTTCTTGGAGATGAACGTAGCAACACAACAAAGCACACACACACCATTATAAGATATGGGGCGCACATTTCTCTCGTTGTTGTCCTACGAATTTCGGAGTTGATTGGGATTCATCGGCGAAACGGCCAGTGCTTATACCATTGCGCCTAGTGTGTGTAAGTGGCTGAAACACTTGCTGCGTGCCAACTTCTCTTTCCACGATGACCGTCAAGTGTTCACAGATGACGGCATTTACTGTTTTGAGTCTTGGGTGACTCCTGTTCTGCAAATTGTTTCGCCCGAACGCACGCTCCGGCCAGTTGGTGGGCAGACGTGACGCATCTCGCATCAGTTCATGGACCATTCTGTGGGCATCATTCCGCGGGCGCCATTGACAGAAAGGAGGGGCATGCGACGATAATTTTCGCCCATGCACAACCGGATATTGCCGGCCAAAACCTGGACCGTCGAGCGAACAAAGGCAGTAGTATATAGAATGGCAAGCGAATATCGTCAACAGCCCCCTGTCGACAGTCCAAGACATGCATCTCCTAGGATTTGGATGTCAAGGGCCGACGAATCGACAAGTTGTTCGGACAGGCTGGGCACGCCTGAACCATGGAGGTCCCAAGGGCGCTGATTGGAAAAGGAAGCGAGCTGAACAATAAATTGACACAAACCTCGGTGAACAGGGAGGATTCATCCGGGAGAAGCGACGGGTCGTTCATTTTTCCTCGCGCATTACTATGCTTTGGGGGCTTGTTATGCTTCGTCTCGGTGAAAGGAATCGGAAACTCGTCGCGTGAGTGGGTTTTCCAGGTGTGGCCATCAGGTTTTGCTTCCCATCTTTCCCGAGTTCGCGTCTTATGAGATATGCTAGGTACCTAGGTATGCTTCCCCAGCTGCATATTTCTGCATCCTGGACGGGCCGTTGCACTGTTGTACTGTTGTAATGGGCATCCACACCACAAATGCAAGCTGTGCTACCAACAGGTGACTGCAGGATTCACAGGCACCGCCCTTGGTAATTATTGTAGCCCTGCTTGTTGCCATGGCTCTCTGATTCCCCCGACCCGCAGCGCCTTGTAAGGAATGTTGTCGTGGATATCCATCTGTGTATGGCAAGCTATCGCGTGAGGTGTTGCCGCTCGGCAGCCAACAATGCAGGTCGAACTGTGACATTTGGCGTCTGCAGCGCAAACTGGATGAGACTCCAGGCGGATCGTGTCTCGGGTTGTTTCCTTGGTTTGGCAACTGTTTTCAAGTGACGCGACCCGCCTCCGTATGAGTCAACATCTGCGACAGCCCAGCTGTGGATGGATATTGCCCAAGACCTTGCAGCAACGTAATAACGCCATGTCGTCTTTGTACGTTTTGCCGCTGTCATCTCATGTACAGTGCCATTGGCGACTCCCATATCACTTTTGCGATGCCGTTAGAGCATCAAGAGGGGAAGGAGCAAATGTCTCCCGCCCAGCATCTTTTGCATCCGATCTGACGATTTCCGGCGAATGGGATCTGGTTTCATGCAACCTCCAGATATTTTGATTCGCTTGCCCCCTCCCCTGCCGTGCGGAGAAATCTTCTGCGAGATGGCGGGTCTTGGCTTAACAAAGGGACTGACGCATGGTGCCACACTGCTGTCCATATGTACACATTGGCGGTATGAGCGCAAATGAAGCCTTCGTGGTTTGACTGGCAAAGGAACGAATTGGTCCATGTTCCACATCAACAGGTGCGCCAGGCCCTTGTTTCAACTCGACTCTTTGCTAGGTTGGGTGGCAAAAATAAAGGCTGGTACTCCGTACGTACAATGAGGCCTAATAATAGTTGTGACGCGTCAGGCTGTGTGGCTCCCCAGTCCTGACGCCTGCGGCGGCGATTTCATTCCCACGAGACAAATGTGACCTGGAGGGTTGATGGATCGATCAGCACAACAGAAACACAAAATTCAGGGTCCACGACTTATCCGCCGGGCGGGTCTTTGGGCGACAGAGATATCGATCCCTGTTCACTCTCCAATCCCGACGCGTTAAGTGGTTGAAACTGGCAACCAGAGGCCCTCAGTGGCAGAAGTGGCCCCAATCACGGAGTACGGAGTAGATGCATACACTTAAATCCGAGAGCCTCTTTTCCCTCCTCCACACAGTTCATCAGGGCCAAGAACGACAAAGCTTTCTGAGGCAGTACTATTGGTGTCCCTTTTCGCTTGAAGTTTGCCATGGCGGGCCAACGGCAACGCCGATGGCAACGCAATAACACATGCCTACGTGCTGATGGACTGAGCATATGGCGAACAAAATACCTACAGCCTTTGACCCGATGAGCCAAGCTCTCGATGCAGAGCCGTGTCAGACCAGCAGTGGCCTCTGCCGCACTGGCTCACCAAAGCGTAGTGTCACACCTAACCAAGCCGAACAAGCCGATGATTTGCAGGGAAACCCTCGCGTCACCACAGCAATGCTGGCAGACCTGCCCTGTTATGAGACGTCAACGATAGTCTCGTCTCTCTTTGTTCTGTTCAAGCCCTTCATTCGTGCCCACAGTGGTAGGGATTCCTTTTGTCCAAAATGTACAAACATCTGCTGTTTTTGGGTCCCCATCATCGGGGAGGATGCCGAGATTGCAGAGACTTCTTCTTAAACCCCTGAGCATCTCTCTGCTGAAGCTGGACCACCTGGCCAAGTTGTAGAGACCTTTGTGTGTATTCTGCAGGCTGTCAAATCACCCCAGCGACCAACAAGCTGTCGTCTGCCCAGGTGCATCGGTAATAAACTGACAAAATTGCAACACGATATGCTATGTAGCCTCGTTGGTGATTAGCGCGAGGCTCCAAGGGCCAGAACAGGGATCGGCGATGGCTGGTGTTAGTACACACATAGTACTCCGTACGAGCTCGGCCTCGACGGAAGCGCGTCAAGATTCCTCGGAACAGGACAACCATACTTGTCTCACAGTGTCAGGGGTCAATGTGCTGAAATGGCACCGGTAGGCCAGATCTGGCGTCTTGGTCTGCATGCCCACTCAGTGTTTCTGCCCCCGTGGCTCCCAGTGCACTGCAACCAGTTCTCACTGTGAGTATGGACTCGGCTGCGCAATTAGTACTAGTCAGTAGAGTGTTTATTGAACTAAAAAAGGACTGGAGGGCTCACTGACTCTGGCCCAGTCCATCCGCCCTTGGCTTCGGATAGCATGGAACGTGGCTGACGAATGCCGGAAGACCGGGCCTGTTCTTCGCCTTGAGCCAGCACGTCACGCGTGCAGTATGACGAGCTGATGATGTACAAGGCCAGTCCATGAAGCCGACTTGAGAGTAAACAGAGGTAGACAGAGCAGGCGAAGGGGAAAAGCCTTGGTCAATCCAACTGAAAGCACTTGGCAAGAGAACTAGCGTGACGACGGTGCACGATTGAAGTCATCAAAGACCAAAATTTAGAATTTATACCAGCAGATCACTTTGTTGGCTAGCGCGTCTATGGCTGCTGAAGAGAGCGAACCGGCGAGCCGTCCATTCAATGTTGAGTTAGCGCGCCTTCCCTGCTGGGCAGCCCACAATGGCAAGCCCACCCGAAGGGTCAAATCTGGTTCCTTCCTCACTTGCGTTCAGACGGCCGCAGAGTACCTGCCTTTGCACAATTATCCGGCATGCGAGCTGGTCTTCCCCACAGTGCCGGCGCCAGGTTTGACTCTCACTGGCCAGGTGTACTCGTGGCCCCCGTCTGGCCTATTCCTGCCTTGGTTGCCTGCCGAGTCTGCAGTTGGGACCTGCCTTGGACCTGCCCACCCGAACTGGACTCCCCCGACCCTCGTCTCGCACATCCTCAGCACATCCTCTTCTTCCGTCTTTTCACTCCATCGTGAGCCGTGACCGAGTTGTGCACCGTCTCTGTGAACTTCTTCCTCTCTTCTGTATTTGACCAACTTTTCCTCTTGGTGTGGGACAAAATGGCTTCGCACGTCCAGCTTGTTACCGCCCGGATGAGGTCTGGTCCTTGTTAACCCGCCTCGTGTTAACGCTCGCGAGCACCTGTAGGCAGGCTCCCATCCCGCCCATGATCCATTGCGCCTTTTTTTCTACAGACTTCAGCAACTCGATTATAACCTCGAAACGAACCGACTCTCCTGCCAGTTCTCCCATATATTCCGCTTCATCCATAACTCTTCTCCTACTGTCACACGAGACAGTCCCCGCCCTCGACTACCAATCCGTACCAAGAAGACGAGACTTCGTAATCAAAAGCTTACACGCGCTCAAGTGTCCGGGTCTCTGCCTGCGCCGATACGCTAGATAAAGGCTTCCCAGCTGCCGTGGAGCTTTACCTGCTCTATGCCATGGCATTTAAGAGAGGCTCGCGCATACATGCCAACCAAAGGCCCTCAACCGACGAAGGGCACCAAAGCCAGATGGCCTCCGCATATCTATCTCGGCGAAGTTCCTGGAACTCTGTTCACGATGACTTGATCGAAGCCACCCAGGACAGGGAGGAGAATCAGCGCAATGACATCATAAACTGGGAGTCACAGCCTACGACTTCTCAGTCACACAGTCTCGTTTCCGACGACAAGGACACATCTCCGAGCGCTTCAAGTAGACATTCCGAAAACTCGGGTATGTCGCGGTTCCAACCATTTCTGTTTACTGCTGAATCATCGCAACTAACAACTCTCCGGCAGCAGCATCTACGTCCTCCTCTGTCTCCGTCTCAGACTCGTCTGATTACCTTGCACCTGCATCAAATGGCCGCCCAGTCAACTTTGGTGTAGTTTTCCCCGGTGTATACCGAAGCAGTTATCCAAAGCCCGAGGGTTACGACTTTTTGGGTAGTTTAGGACTCAAAACAGTCGTGTAAGTTGCCCTTCAGTTGCCCTGTACAAGTTATCAGTGCTAACATGCTTAAAGGACCCTGGTGAAGAAGGACGAACCGGATCACGACCTGGAGTCATTCTTGGCCACCAATGGTATTCGCCAAGTCATCTTCAATATGAAGGGAACCAAAAAAGAGGCTATTCCCATGAGCACCATGAGGTCTATTCTTGAGCTCGTGTTGGATCAAAAAAATTACCCTCTATTGCTCCATTGCAATCATGGTAAACATCGAACTGGCTGTGTCGTAGCTGCAATCCGCAAACTTTCGGGTTGGCAGTTGGATGCCGTCGTGGATGAGTACAGGGCCTATGCAGAACCCAAGGTCCGCGAATGCGACGTTGACTACATCAACGCATTCCCTTGCGGGCCACTACAAAGCATGTATGACCTGTACGGAGAACCCGCTAGATTCAGCCCAGTACAAGTACGGACCTTTTTTCGAGGCCTTCTCTTTACGTCGTTTGTGATGGTAGTATGGCTGGTTTCAGGGTCTCACATAAGTTTAGGACCTCACGACTCAGTCGTGTGAGACCACTTCCTCAGTCTACCTCGCAATGGCAAATCGTACCGACGTTTTTAACCTGCTCTGCAACTATTCGTGTCGGCTTTTTCGCCTGGCCACTTTGAGCCATGAATGACAGTAACACCTGCCTCTATACTACCAAAAACAAGCAGGTCAACAAAGCTCAACGTCCGCCGATCAATGAATCGGAACACACATTACCATATCATATTAGACTTCACAGAGAGAATCGCTACAGTTAATACCCATGGTACATGGCATTTTGGTGGCATCTCCACCCTGTTTTTGGCATTGGCCCCTGGTCTTTTTCGATTTCTACCGAAGAGAACGGTAGCAAATCAGACGCATTGTTGGACATTTTTTTTCATCGAGATTATTTGATGAGCCAGGTTGGGGGCCTAAGAGAAAATCAAGAGCTGAGAAAATCTTGAGGCGGCGTTCTGGGAAAGAAAGAAGTGTCTTGGGGTTGGTGATTGGGGAATTGTTTAATGGCATAGCCCGGAATAAGAATTGGCCCCAGCGTTGTGCAGGAATTCACTGGCTACCTTTTTTTTTGGTTTGAGTTTTCTTTTGTGCTTTATGAGGAAAGCATGTATCATTATGGATAGCATCAATAGACGATTGCTGCCGCGGATGAGGAGCGACTTGTGATTATCTGTTCATGCCAGTCATCTGTGTCTATCATTTTGTTGGCGATTTAAACCATGCAGTTGCCGACGGTAACAATAACTGGCAAATCACTTGGGTGTAGTTGATTGGTGTCGCGCCCGAGTGGCCATAGTGTACAATACATATACAGTGGGCAAGTGTGTCTAGATGCTTGGCTTTTTGAGTGGGATGCGGACAGTTGTGAAGTCAGTGGTGAATACGTCATAAGCGGACGCCGTACGGACGTAGATGGAGCAGGATCACGGCCTAGTGTGAATATTTCTCATTCACGTCAAGCCTGGAATCCTTCCAGATGTCCATTCAAATTACACTCGTCTTGATTATGAGCATACAAAGCCCGACGCGATGCAAGGGAGTCAAATCATGAGTTTATACATTACACCATATTGTACATGCACTCTTTCCCGGACAGCGGTCTGGTCTGACAAGTCAGCCCGCGTCAGTCACCTCCGCCTAGTCGTCCTTGGGCGCCCATCTATTCCTCCTCGTCCTCTCCTCCTCGTCCTTTGCAAAGTCGCCGCCAAAGTAGACCCATCCGCCGGCAACGGCGTTGGCGGCCCCGAGCCCAATCGCCGTTCCTCTCACCAGGCCCCTCGCAGAAAACTTGCTCCTCAGGGGCTGGCGCCTCCGCAGCGCGAGCAGCGCATACAGGCCCGACCAGGCGGCTGTGAGGCCGGCGCTGCCAGTCGGGTATCCCGACAGGTTGAGGTACGACGAGAAGAGCAGAGGAGGTGTGAAGAGGAACAGGGGCAGCTTCTGGAGTGGACGCGCGTGGAGGGCTGTGACGAGGGTTGCCAGGAGGGCCGGGGGGAGGGAAGATGCTAGGATGGACGAGTTAGTTCAAACTGCTGTTGCTTTGCGTATTGGTTATCCGGGGCGAGGCGCGAGTGTTGCCTGGTGGTGATGTAGCAATGACTCTTTCCTATATCTCCAACGTGACAAGGGTGGATTTGCTGCCGGGAATGGGAGATTACGCCGACGTGAAGGAATCGGGTCTCATTCGACGAAGCTTCCATGCATGTCGAGGCCACATACATGGGAAGGAGACTGGGGACGTGATGATGTGCAGAGTGAAGAGCGCCAAAGGGACGGCGTGGGAGTATGACATCGAGGCCGGCACGCAGCAAACGGAGCGCGTTTCGGAACAAGATGGGCCCCAATGGAAAGGAAAACACATTGGTTTGCAACAGCAAAGGACTACACTGGAAAACTTACATCCCCAGTCTTGCAGATGCGCCACGACGGATTTGCTCTGGGATGGCGCGGCTGGAGCAGTTGGTGTATCGCCTTGTGCAGCAGCCATGATGGGGGGCAATTGGTGTCTGGTACTGATGCCGACGACACTGGCGCGGCTGCACGAACAGCTTCGGGGTGAAGCAGAGCCTGACGGGTGGTGGTGCTGGGATGTGCAAGCGATGCAGGATGTGCTGCTGCTCATGCGGCGGACGATGAATCGAGTTGGCTGTTGGTGATGTCTGTGAACTGTTCCAATGTCGCAAAAAAGAAAATGTGGTCCGAGTGACGCCGCATGAAATGCAGAGGGTGTTGCACAGGGTCTGGTCGTCGTCGAATTGGGGAGCAACTCCTCCTGGCCTGCCTTCCGTTTATGGGGCAAAAAGTCAATTGAGCCGCATCAAACGCGGAATTACTAAGCCTCAACCACGCATTTTAGAGGCTGCCCTCTCTCCATGGACATCTCAAGGGATCAAAAACAGAGCAACATGCAGCTATAACCAGCACGCCGTTTTCCGTCGGGTTTGCGCGACCGGTTCCTAGGCGAGCCCGTTGCACTCAGTCGCACCTGGTTGACTCTTTTCCCGGCACCAATTTCCTTGCCAGCTTGCCAGACTTCTACTCCGGAGAGCTATTAAGCTGTTGTTCCGCAATTCACGTTCCACTCGCGACTTCTAGATCCCTGCTCCGCATCTGCACCAGGGCCTCCGCTCCATGCAAGACGAGGGAGAGGGAACACACTCCCATCTGGACTAGGATCACTAGGCTTTGGGCGAAGCACACATTGTTAGCCGTCAAGATGCCCTATCGAACCACCGAGACCCGTGCATCACCAATTGCATGTTATGTCTTGTCCACGGTAAATTTTGTATGACGGCGCATGCGGTGTGGTTCCCAGGGTTGCCTGCATGTGATGCAAGCAGATCCAAGTTCGTCAGCCCTCATCAGGCTGCAGTCTCCTCGCGTCCTCCGTTGAGTCACGATCGAATCGGAATCCACTGAAATGAGATTTCCAGAAGAACTTCTGATGATCCCCTCTTTGGTGCCACCATTGCCACAACTCAAAATGTCTCGCCAAGCAAGGTCATGGACCTTGTGCTTGACAATTGCGGGGAAATAAGTCTATTCATATATGCATCATAGGGGGTTGTCCCATTTGTCAATCCGGCCACCTCGTCTCTGTAGTGTGGTCTATCGCTGCCAAAAAGAACAAATCCAAAAGCGTTTAACGAAAAAACTATCAACACTGGGAAACGCTCAGGCTAAATGTTAACAAAGATATGCACGTGTCTTGCGACGTCGCAGCTCAGGTCCGATCCAACTATGTATGTGTCTGTTGCCTTCTTTTCCATCTCATCCCTTGCTGTGTATAAGCCGCATCGTATCATGCGCGTTGATTGATGATAAGCCCTTGAAACCGATCCATGAAGTTAACATCTAACGTGCTGAGGAACCCATCCCCTACTGCTCCAAACATTGCTACTGTCAAGGTGCCGACGTGTAGCCCACAGATGTCAGGATCGATTCAAAACCAAAGATGACTATTCCACGAATCCCCAGAAGAGAGAGAGAGAAAAAGGGAAAGAAAGTGCCGCAAAAAAGGTCGCAGATATAATCGCAGGTCGTAACATCGTTAAATTTTCGTGAATCTATATGCATATGCTGTGCAAAGGAAACAAGGGAAACAAAATGACAAGTTGTGATGTACAATCTCTCGGTCATCCTTTAGAAGATGAAATACGGCAGTGCCCCAATGGCACCTATCCATATGCAATCACCTCTAGGCATAGCCCACATTGCCCGTCAGTGGTTGTCAGTGGTTGTCAATGCTGGTCCTGGTTTTGAGACCAAAATCGGGGATCCTCATTCGGATCCATGTGTTGGTACATATCGAAGCCGGTATGATTGGAGTAGTTTGAGAATGCATGGGCATCATCCGTGTACATTGCCTCCGAAGTTGCGATGAACGAAGAGCCAAGGCCAACAGCGCTTGTGCTGCCATCCAGCATCCATGGACCTTGTGTGTAGTTGCCAACAGCCGTGAAATCTCCGATTGGGGCAGTTGCAGGATACTCAGAAGCCTGTGCTTCCATCGTCGAGGACATCATTGGGTAGCCATCAAACGTAGGCATTCCATGACCAGCGGGGACGGAACCCTCATGATACACGTTTCCGGCAGTTGCTGCTGAATCTCCTCGAGAGCTGCCAGACTGAGGAGCAACTCGCCTATCCCTAGATTTGGATGAATGGGATTTGTGAGAGCCTTTTGGGCTCCCACTGCCATCACGACCACTTCGTGAACTGCCTGCAGAGTGAGGGTCAGACTTTCTGTTCTTTTTTGAACGAGAAGTTTCCCGTCTATATTCGCAGGTAAGGCCTTGAGCGATGCACCTCTCGCACCCGTCCTTATCGCCGCTGCATTTCAACTGCTCTCGAAGAAGACCTGATTAGCCTCAAGACCCAAAAGTTCATATTCACATTGTGTTAGGGCTCGGGCTGCCTTGTGCTCTGGGGACGGATTGTGGATGGATTCTCGTTTGGGCGGAAACATAAAAGCCTTTATGAATAACGGAGCAAATAATTAAAGGCTTGCAAGAGATAGGCTTATTACAGTAGAAAACAACTCCATGATCCAGTGGTCCTGCTGTGCAATTTAAAGAAATAGGGTCTTTCTGGCGCAGCGTACCTTCTTCTCATGGCATCTGTTACAAGCTTGATGCTGATTCGAGCGTGCTGTCTCATAGTCGTGAGAAGTTTTCAGGTTTTCGACCTGTCCTCGACCTCTGCCGTACTTCCAGGTACCGAACATGGCTAGCTTCTCTCGCAGAAACTGCCCAAAACAAAATTGGGGTGGTGAGTGACGCAAAAGAAGACAGATTTGATATATCCAGCTACTCCACGAGCTAGAGGAGATAGACTCGATGCTTGGTGAAGATTGTTCCGAACGGAAACCTTGTTCGATGAGGTTGTCTAAGCAGACAAGATGAACGTCAAGGCCAAACTGGTGAGCGTAGCGGTAATATATAGAATGAGGAGAACGGAGAGAGTAGGCTGATAGACTTGTTGTCTGGGAATGGAATAGTCGAACGATGACGGTAAGGCTGAGAAAGGTCCAAGATTATATAGCACCGAGGTCAACAGGCCAGACGGCGAGGGCCGAGCTGGATGAGCAGCAGGCATCCATGGGTGTATGGAGTCATCGTCTGCATATCAACGAGTCCTTGCCAAAAGCCGCACGCCTCAGGCCCCGCAAAGAGTACCGCGAAGATTGGGACATGGTTTCCAGAATGGTGTGCCAAAGGTACTCAAAGCGTACCAGACTAGCTAGGGAGGCGTGGGTGGAAGACAAGGAAAGGGGTAACGGCTCGTATCACGGAGCAAAGCCAGACGAGAGGAGGGCAAAGTAAGGGTGTATGGGGCATAGAAGACGGAGAACGGAGTGAGTGGATGAGAAGGACGGGCTTGTTGGTTGTTGTTGGTGGTGGTCGTTGGTTGCTGGACGTTTAGACTCGGAGGATTCGAATGCTCCAAAGCGTGTTGGTTGTGTCGAGAAACCACCCACTCGAGCGCTTGATGTCAGTCCGCAGCGGGTGTCAGCCACAGCCTCGAGGTCGCCAGGTCGCCAGGTACCCAAGTACCGAAGTGCCTGAGGAAGACACGGTGTATGGAGTAGCATGTTCCCAACGTCCATGTCAAGTCATCGAGTAGCTCAGCATTGAAGACAGTGGATACGCCGTACTGGACACTTTGAGAGGACATTGTGCTGGAGCATTCGGGGTGAGGCCAGGCTGCAGTACCCGCTAAACCAAAGCTGCCAGTGGATGTGAGCCAACCAGACCGGCACAAAGAGGATAAGCCAGGCGAAAGTGCTAAAGTGCGCCTAGCTTGATGCAGGATGGGCAGAGTACGGAGTAGAGGAGCAAGAACCGGGGAAAGAGCATTGGGCTCCCAAGCAGCCAAAGCAGGACAAGCGCAGGCACGAAAGAAGCACAAGTGGCAGGAACAGGCAGGAGCAGGCAGGAACCCCGTCCGACGTCACTGCCAAGTCTCTCTTTCCCCAGTGCCTGGATCCATTGCCTCTTGCAGCCCTCTGGTACATCCGGGCCCCCAGAATCCCAGCATATTATGGAGCATGGAGTTCGGAGCTCTCAAAGTCACAACTAATGCTCGAGTGCTCAAGTGCACGGGTGGCGCCCGAGAATGGGAAGTGGAAGTGCGGAAGTACAAATGTCAACTGGTTGATGTTTCGTGGTAGTTTCTAGGCAGAACTGGGGCTGGTGCTTGCGATTTCTTGCAGGGGGCACGGTGTTGCATCCACCGTAGCCGCCCGTTGCCGGCTCCTGGGTGCTGCCCAGATGTCAATGATTTAGCGTACTGTTAGTTGCTCCAGCACGCTACTGTACGTACAGTTTACAGCAGCTCTTGCCGTCACTGGTCTCTTAGCATGCCCCACCATCACCCGAGCACTGCACTCGCGCACAAGCGCGCTCCACGAATGGGTCTGGTTACTGTGTCAGTCTCATCAGTTCAGTGCTAGTCAGGGTATCGGCCCCCACCCACAACATTGAACTCATAATTTACAACCGTCAGACCCAACATCGCCGTTTAAACATCAACATCAAACTCTCGATGACAAGTACCAGCCCTCTGTACGACAGAGCTTTCTTCAACACCCTACCGCCCCTTTCTCCGCGTCAATGCGTGCCCTCGGGACCCCGTGCTCCCGCGCCTCTCCTGACAAGCCAAGATCAAAAAGCATAGTACTACATGCCAGCAAGGGCTGTTTTTCTTTTGTCGGATCTGCCTCTCCAGTGCCTTTCTTCAGGCCATCACTGTCCGGGATAGCACCCTGCAGCATCGTCTGTCATCTGCAGACCCCGTCGTTTGCTCAGTTCGCACCACCGTCGTGCCACCCCTACAGCATGCAGGAGGAAGATCCTGGCGAGGCTGCCTAGTAAGGCCCTAAGCACGTGTGAACAATGGGGAAACAATGCATGGGGAGAAACCCTATCTCCGACGCAGACGAAGTCATCTGCCGTCGTACCAAGCAAACATAAAATGTGCTTAGCAATACGGAATGTTGCTCTCACGCTGGTCTGCTAAACCTACTTGTGACCCGTCTTGTTTACACGAGGTATTTGTTGTTGTTTTTGATCAGCACAAACGAAGACCCGAGCGGTTTTCGCCTCTATGATGGCAAGCCTTACCAACAGCCAACCCATCGCACTCCATGGGCGACCAGACGCTGACCAAGCAGAAACAAACGTTTCAATCATGATAATAGCAACACATTCATAATCTGGTCTGTTGGTTGATTGATCATCCAGTCCGTCCGTGGCGGTCGGGGACGTCCACCAATGGCACAGACGGAAAGGGTACTCTACAACACTACAAGCGGCAAAATACCGTTTCTCGTCAACTCAACGGTTAGAAAGAGGCTTATGCGTTAGTATGGTACGTATTTTCGGGCGACGAGGGCGATGCAGCCGGTAAAGGTCAAAGCCTGTCGCAAGTTACCAGACGTGGACAACAGGTTTTAAGCTGCATTCCATCGTCAGCAGACAATGTTTAGCTGCCCGAAACATTTTCTGGACAAGACAAGACAGCACCATATGGACACAAAAAGCTCGGCATCGGTTGGTCGCTTTACAAGACAAAATCGGCACTTCTGCTGCCCCTGCATCCTAGATGTTATATTTTCTTAAAAAACAAAAGGTTTGTTGGCCCTTTGCATCACAGACACATCTCGAATTAGGCAATGTAATCTATGAAAGCAAGTCCAAGTCCGGGACCAGATGCTCAAACCTAGAGCCACAATTGGCCTTAGCCGTTTTTCAAACGACGTTTTAGCGACGACGGGGCCAGCATCTGCCTTCGTATAAAGTTCTTTCCGATTGGTCAATCTCTGCCTTTTCACCCCTAAACCAAATAGGGCTGGTTTTCTCGCCCGCTTGACGGTGTGGGCCGGAGAGGATGGTTCTACTCCATGTCACCACCAGATTGCAATTTGAACACTAGGGGCAGCAGACGACCGAATGCCGCGTGGAGCCCCGAGGCTGAGAGGTGTCTGAGCCGTGGTCCGGAAATAATTTGACCAAAGTTGGCAATCTGGTGTTACTCAAATGGATACCAATGGGAAACAGCAAAGAACTATACAAGATATCCACGTCTGGTATGAACCGACACAGCCCATCATGGCTGGGCAGATGCCATTGTTGCCCAGTGGTAATCCGATCTCTCCACAAGGTTACGCCGTCGGGTGGCCGCCATTCAACCAGACGCCAACATTCAATGTTCTGTGAAGAGCGCCCCAATTCCCCACTTGGCAGGCTTCCAGATATGACTTACGTCACCAAAGACCACGTCGGGGCGACCCTGCCACAAAACAATGTATCATGCCATAAAAATAGGAATACTACAGGCATGCTGTATACCGCTTCTAGGACAAACCAAACGACACGGCCATCGTCATCAGAGAGATATTGGTTTCACATGGTCCAGGTGCTTTGAAATTTCACGGATTGCTATACACGGCGTCAACAACTCCTTCTCCGCTACGAAGTAGTACTCTCCAAATGACGGTGCATTAAAAAAATGTGTTCCAACCTAGGGATGAAGGATTCTTCAATCGTTTCGAGACCAGGATTGGAAAGACCCATCGAAAGGATTCGTGTGCCACGCCCCAGCCACGATATAATGGACGGACAAGAGACCGGTATCAAAATGCCCAGCCTCGGCCAATGTGTCATGAAAAGGTTGTGCACGAATCCAAGTCTGTGGGCAAGCTTGGAGTTGGCTATAAAATTCGTCGTCACGTTTGGCACGAGCCGCGCAAGGCTGTATTCGGGACAGCTCCCAAATGCAGGGCTCACAGTGATTCGCAACAGCCACAGGAAGGTCTATCCCCCAATCCACAATCAAATGATCATAGCTTATCCACTTACTCCCAAGCCTGGTGCTGGCGGTTTGATCGGCGGCACGCAAATACCCCGGCGTCGGCCAAGAACCAAGCCAAGTTCAAATGGCATTCCTGGTCCTAGAGGTGTTAGGGTCACCAAGGTACTCACTCTGTAGAATATTCTGTGTAGCCCGGTGACTAGGACCACCAATTCCGCTTACATACCTTCCATCAAAGCCACAGAACAAACCTTGCAAGCAACCCTGCCTGTCACACAAGGTCAACTAGCCAATGTGGGTAATTAGCACGCTGACGAGCGCCATGCGCACGGCTTGACTGTTGCATCCGCCCCAAGCCTCTCCCCCGCTGAGCTGAAGAGCAACTATAGACACACGGTTGTAAAGGTAGCATAACTTCTCCTTTAAACTTTGTATCAATCGTCAGTGGCGAGTCGTTGTCGTGCTAGTGTAAAAAGTCATGGCGGCTACTTTAACTTATTAGAAGACCAAGATTGATGTGCTCTGGAACCGATACACGGTATCACGAGTGAGCCAAGATATACAGATGATTCGCGGCATGCAGGTCGCTCACCAAACAACACCTGTGATGATTCAACATTACATATTATAGGTATTTAGAGGAAGCAAATGCATTTCCACAGTGAGAGCATTACAAGAAGCGTATTTTTCCCCTTCAGCATGAGAATATTTCCTGTCACAGTAAGCTTAGACTTTCTCATCCTACCAGTGTCGCTACTTGTAATAACACCATGGCCTCTTAAATGACTTGAAATAGTATCAACACGAGAGACATAACCGCAAGCCGCAGTCCTGCCTTACATTTCTGATAGCTGACTACACCCCAGGGTTGGGCTCAAATTATGTCAAATTGCCCTTGTCGTTATTTTCGTTTCTCGCCTTGTGTCTTCTTACAAATACAGCCAGGTTACACCGCCAGGGGCGACTTTTTGTGTCACGGCCTCACAGGGCATGAGACACGGTCCTCGAACATTATCCACAAGGAGATGGTTTTCCTAGGAGTCTATTTTGGGCCAATCTGGGCAGCCCTCTCTCCCTCTTGTCGGCTTTCAGCATCGGTCACTGCAGCTGCGTCTCGGCTTGGAACATGGAACAAAGTCCACTTTGGGTGGCCCGCCTTCGTCGATAGGCCTCGCTGTCTGCAGTCCATTCGGTATATTAAATTCGGCATTCGAATCTTAGCGCCCGGAAGCGCGTATACGGAGTACACCCTTGCGCTCAAGCAGGCTTGGTGGACCAACATCGTGCGTGTTACCAGTATCAACGGCCATTCGAGCACATCAAAATTTCGTCACGGCCGAGAATCGTTTGTAACAGAAACCTGCGAGTGTGGGTAGAGATCCACTAGGGATGCGAACAACATATGCCTACCGAAACCACTGCGGTGGAAAGTAGAGAAACCAGACACGTTTGTCTTTTGTCATTTGTTTCGACTGTCGCTATTTCCACCATGAAAGGGGACCCTTTGACAATGAGATCCGTGGCTTGGCTTGGGGGTCCTTGTCACTTCTCATTTGCGCTTAGCTTTTACACTCACGCCCTATCTAGATCTTGGATTTGCGGCTAGCATCTCTCACCCCGTTACAATGCTCCTCTATTGGTGGGAGTGGAATCAGCTTTGCCGATTAGAGTAAACCCCGCCGCTGCTAAGTTCATTACGAACTACGGAGTAGAACTGGACTGAAAGTCTTTGTTTGTTTCACACCACGAATTGTCGAATGCCCTGTCCGCGGGGCCAATTGTGGGAGAAAGATTGACAAAACAACTGCACTTGATGGGCGGCTATGTCTATTTGAACCGGCGACTGCCATACACTAGCACCTCTACTGCAGTTTCAATTGAGCCAACAGTGATAGCATCAAGGGCACGCTAGGTTTGGATACAAGTAACTCTTAAAGTGCAGGGCGTACGGTCGGTCATGTGGACCAGCATCCGATGTCATGCAGTGGGAGTGCTCAGTGTGAAGGGGCCGATACTGTACGCCCAACTGTCCTGCCAGGAGCTTGCGTCTATAACTTGCTTGCCACAATCACTTGGGCCGAGTGGTTTGTCCAGAACCCAACGACAATGGTTCTGATTCAAGATGGCATTGTGACCACCGTCAGCAACATGCGCAGACATGACAGGTCCATATAATAAGGCTCGCAATTATGACAACGTTTTTGGGGGTGCTATATTCAGTGTCTAAGGTACTACTCTCTCCCCGGGAACACGTCGCTCCAGTGTAGACCACATGGAGGCCGACGTCGTGCGCCAAGTTACCCGCCTGCCAGCAGGCTTGGCCGCTACCATACTTGTACAAACAAACAAAAGCAAACCCGGATTAAAAACCAACCATTCCCGTCTCGTACATGTTGGCACTTTTGGCCGCCCTAACCCCGGATTGAGTCTGAGTCTGTGTGCGATTGCCGTGTTATGGTGGTTCGCGAGACCACAGCACTCCCGATTTACGAATGATGCGCCTGGTGGCTGCCGATTGAACAAGGTACGTGTCGAAGAGGCAAAATATTCGGCGTGGCCATCCTTGTCGTTGTCGGCTGATGGCTGACGGAGCTTACACTCGCAGGGTCTCAGAATATTACCGGCGGCAGGCTCTAGAAGTCTATATGCTTCACCGGACTACGTTCCTTCCGTACAATTTGCAGATGCCCGCATAGATAAAGGTATTGTTTGAGGTTCATATCTTTCTTTAGCTCAAAATAACGTCCGAACGGTGATTCGACGGAGACGGCGTATTCTTCGTTATTGGATGTCAGCCTCTTCAGGAGATCGTGACCCTTCCAACGGAGCGGAAACGAGATGGTGAAAAAGGTTCCCCGGTCATTGGCCAGGGTGTTGTCCGTCATATCTTCAACGGTCATGGTGTGACGTTGGCCGCCTCCGTCGCCAAGGGGGAAATGTTCTGTGTCTGAGGAATATTTGTGATCATGGTGGCCATGGTGGCCATGGTGGTGATCGTGGTGGTGGAAACTCGGTCCGTAAAAGTGCTGCCCCCCAAATTGGACGTGTCTCGGTGGTGGTACAATGCACGGTTCGAAGAAATCCAGATCGTCGAGATACGCACAGCCGTCAGAGCAACACATGATGGCCTTTGACGACGAGCGATGCCGCGTCAACGAGGAAGACGAGGATGACGTACGCGACGAGCGTGACTTGCTGTGCGAGCAGGAGAAGCCCCAGTTGCAGCCGCAGCCTTTGAACTTGACGGCGAGGGAAGATTCTCGGGTTTCCCTGATCCGGCAGGGCATTTGGAGTTGTGTTGAGGTGACTGCCTCTACGATAGATGTTGTGTTGGTGTTCGGAATGAGACTGAGGCGTGAGGTCGTAGTTATATGGCCGGCTGTTCAAATTTTCGGCCGTCGTCGTCTTTGTTGCTCCATTACAATGGCCTTTGGGGAGCAAGTCACGACAAACAGCATGGTGTGGCAGCCATCTTCCTACGCAATAGCACAATGCCTCTTTATCGACGGCACAGGTTCTAAAGGTTTGTGAATACAGGGCCTCCCTACACGCGGGTTGCCGCTGTGATTGAGGACATGACGTTGTGAAGCGCTCAACAGAAACCGGGTTGAAACATTCGAGCGGAGCGCAACAAACGCGCGCAATGACCTTTTTTCTTTTCGCCGACAACTCTCTGCAGCCAGGGACAAATAAAGGGCTGCTTTTACGCTTTGCAAATGGGGTGCTGTCGACCTCGTACTTCCTTTGCCTGCTGCATGCGAGCATAGAAGCAAGCACTGCCCGACCAGGCCTGTCCAACAAACAGTCCTCTCTATCGAGAACAATGGCGCTGCCTTTTTCACCGGCCATCGGCAAGCAGGGCAATCTACAAAGAACGTCCGCCGTCACCAAGGCCTTTGAGCGGAACGGCCAGCGGTGCGCAAAGAAACTTGCATTCAAACAGGGCTCAGCTACCGGGCAATGAATGCATCTAACGCCGCTGATGATCAGCATGGCCCTTTTGTCCTTTTTTATTCTCTTGCCGGCCGCGAAACTCCGCCGCTATAAGCGTCTCACCAAGACCCTCGCTCGCATCACCCCTGGCTTTTTGTCGTAGGGCTGACGCGGGCTTTGTGAGAGGTCTGGCGGGCAGCGCCCTTCTAAAAGCGGACGGTGCAGCGAGACGGTGACACAATGCGTGGGCTTTGGGGCCGCACAACCAGGCTTGCAACACTTGCAGATGAAGAGGGGGGGTGGTTTCAATCGTCGCCTTGGTCGTGGTCATTCAGGTGATGGGTGTTGGTCAGCGACTCGGCGTGCAAATGCGGTGTTCTATAGGGTAGGCCACGACGCCTGCTTCTTCTCACGAACCGGTGCATCACGAGGTCATCAATAAAGACGGGGCATCTACGCGGTGTTCTCTGGCTTCGTGCCTGGTTACTGTTCCCGCTCACCGAAGGCGCTGATGAGCAGGCATGCAACTCCGGCCTCGTCTTGTCCGAGAGGGTCCCGTGGCATCACTGGCAGAAGCTTCCATGCTTCCACGCCCGGCAAACGCCACGTGTGGTGGCCTGCGCCAGCGGGGGCCAAGGGGGCCACGCATCTCGAGGCTTATCTGGAACCTCGCCCTGTCGCGGCCGACAAGTCCCGGGGTACTCCATCCGGCTCGTCTTTTGGGCAGTGGTGGTGAGCGACGCGACCTGACGGTCTACTTTGCTCAGCCAAGGGGCCAACGGTTCCTCCATATCCAAGGCAAGCGGGCTGAAACTCGGCGGAATTCAGGGCCTGTTTGGGGGTCCGACGATACAGACACCGCCCACAGGGCGATGAGCTCTCATTCAGACGTCGTTGGCCTGAGACCGGAGGACGGCTCGCGGGGTTTAGGCGGTACGAGGGTTAGTCTGGACTTTTGTGCTTTTGGGCCATGCGGAAAGAGGATACGGGCCCTGGAATTTGACGTGTGAAGCGGGTGAAGCGGGCTTTGCAGAGTTGCATTGTGGTGGTGCGGACCATGATGTTCTATGAGTTGATGGTTTGATGGGATGTAGCGTTTCTGGGCGGGGTCAACGGCTCGTTATCGTTTAAGAGAGAGTTGGTTGGGACTTTGGTAAGACTACGTTTTTATTGATGCCGGCTGGGAGAACGGATCTGGGTGCTTGGCGCGCATTTTGCATCAAGAATTCCCAGGTTTTGGTACGAGCAATGAAGGCGCAGCGCGTACGTCTCGAGTTACGTCCTGGGTCTGTTCGGTTCGCCCTCGCCGTGTCTTAACTGCAGTTGCGGAAAGACGACGGCATAACCTTGCCGTTCTGGTTCGTTTGGCTCACTCCTTGACGCAGGCACATGGCGGCAACTGAGCCATGCAAAATACCAATGCCGCCGTTACAAATTGAGCGTACCTGATAGCCGAGAAGAGGCAACTCGGGAGATCTGCAATGCCATATGGCGGACGTAGCTCGGCCCTGGACCCAGGGAAGAGGAAATGATATATCGAGATGCCGCTGGTATTGATGCCGAAGCGGCCTCTTCACCTCAAAGTAAAGCTGTTCCCGGAAATGCCTTGATGTGCTGCTCATCTATATATTCGATGAACCGAGGTGTCTATCAGTCATGCGCCATCTTGTTGGGCAGAATCTTTTATGCAACCTGGCTGTCTAGTGTGATGTGAGTCTGTGGATACTTGGAGGATATCTGCTGTACAAAACGCACGTCAAGAACACTCGAATCCGTCGTGGAGTTGATGCGCCCTCATTCCGATGATGCTTACACCAGAGTCGAGTTTGTGCAGTATTGTGGTTCTCGGTCGCCGGCAGAACGAGCAGATACATTGCATATGCTAAATAAACAGGTTCTTCAGCGGCAGTGGGTGAACCGTAGGACGTTGATTCCCACACTTTTCTTGCAAGTCGTCTCTCCAACAGCGTGTCCTGCTTCCTCAGCCTGGAGTTGAAGGTTCTGCTTGAGAAGTGAGAATAGACAACACTTCCTCTGAGCTCCAAGGAATGTAGAAAAATTCACCTCAACACCATGCTTAGAGTGATGGCTTGAGCTCTCATTTCACCATGGCGTGCAGAGAGATTGACCATGACTAATGAGTTGATGGGATGTCGCATCAAGCCAAGCCCAAAATATCCAGACGTCAAATCGGATCCGGAAAAAGGTTTCTAACAGAAGAGACAGGCTGTGGCTGAGGCTGTGAGTCCCCTTGCACGCCACGGATCTCTGCGGCCAACCAGAGCACGTCAGCCACGCCTCCGCCACCCATTTGAGGCAAAAAGGCCAGCGAACCATCTGGAAAACATTTGACCCTGACCAGCCATAATAATTCTCCTCGTCACTTCCTGGGAGCCTTGCGACCACGTCCCCGGTTTTAGAGTTGCACGTTTTGCATTGTTACGCTCTTTGTTGACATTGTTGCCGACTGTCGACTTTATCCTTTTCTTTGTCGCCTGCCTGTCCACCTATTTATTGACTTCACAATGGCCGGCCTCAACCCCCAGATGTGAGTAGCGAATCTTTGTTTCCTCTGCACGTGGACATGTGTTCGATCCCCCCTCCATCGGGAAATATCACGAGTCGCATGGCTTCATGTGCGCCGGTGCAGAGGACATGTGCATCGAATCTGTACCGGGAGACAATGTATGCTAACATCCTGCCCTCGATAGCACCAACCTCGTCATCATGTTGGGCATGATGCAGGTGTCGAAGCGCATTCCCTTTGACGACCCCAACGTCCTCAACACCGTTCGCGCCGTCTACCTGGGCAGCAATGTCCTCATTGCCCTGCTGTACCTGTACATTGGATCGCAGATCAACAAGAAGAAGGGTATGGCTACCTAACCCTCGTGTCTCGGGCCTGTTTTGCGGAACAAACCCCAGCTCGCACCTTGGTTGTCGTCGAATATAGAGCGCAACAAGAAAAAAAAAAAAAACTAACCCGTATACACTAGACCTGACGACGCTCAAGTACGTTGAGCCCCCGCCCATGGGCTCCACGGAAGAAGGCAAGCTCGTCACGACCACGATCCAGGCCTACGACAAGGACCAGCTCCGCGCCCTCTTCCGCGGGCAGATGATGGGCATCGCCATCATGGGCTTCATGCACCTGTACATGAAGTACACCAACCCCCTCCTCATCCAGAGCATCCTGCCCGTCAAGAGCGCCCTCGAGAGCAACCTCGTCAAGATCCACATCTACGGCCAGCCCGCCAGCGGCGACCTCAAGCGCCCCTTCAAGCAGGCCGCCGGCTTCATGAGCGCCATGCAGCAGGGCCAGGCCCAGAGCGACAAGAAGGCCGTCGAGGCTGCCGAGAAGTCGGGCCGCGGCGGCGCCAAGGAAGAGTAGACGGGGAAAAGGGGGACACGGCTAATCAACACGTGGCAACTGCATAGACGATGCTGGGGGCCCAGGGGGGTGGGAGAGGCTTTCTGATGCTTCTGGTACAAGCAGAATCCTTGGGGCGGGAATAACAACACGGGGTTGAAGGGCGATAAGCCACCGGGTTTGTTGGATTGTATTAGATGTCTGTACCATGGAATGTAATTGGTTTCCTTTGGCGAATTCGCGGCTCCTCGGCTCGGGATTTTCCCCATCGAGGCAGCGAGGTGCGTTTGGTGACGGGGGCCCCTACAACATGACCACGTTGCTGGCACAAAGTACCGGGTTACTTATAAACATGCCGACGGGGGCATTTGTGGTTCCACTGTCGCGTGGTGACGAGACGCACATGCACGTACGTATTAGTGGTTGCTGCTAGTACATGATGACGGTGTCAGATACAAGAAGGAGTTGTTTCCCTGTTTCCCTGCCGCCGCCACGACCTGCAGCGTGTGTCCTTCATCGCCAGCTTATTCCAGAATGATCCAGTGGCTTCATGCGAATTGCCCGCGGGGGCCGTTTGGTTTCCGCCTGGGTCGGGTGACTACTTTGCGCAACTCCTTGACGCCGATCACGCCTTTGCCCCGGAGCCTGGAAGCGTCCTCGGGCGTGGGTAGAAATCTGGTCGTATTCGACCACCGTGTCGTAGGGGCTGCCGGCTCTCCGCGTGGTTTTCCGCCTCCCGACGTAGCACGGCGTACTGTAGTTATTTCTTGGGACGAAGAGCGCCTGGGGATGCCGGCCCTGGCTGAGGCGTAGCAGTTGTAACTACGATGTGCGCGGCGCATATGACTTTGGCTGTTGTTTGTGCCCCGATTTGCAACTACGTACGGCCAAGTCCACGGCTGGCATTGAACTAAACTTTCAAAGAGGCCGTTGTCAGCCGTTGTTTGGTTCGGGTTTACCAGTCGCAGAATGGGAACAGCCAACTCCGAGGGCACGATGCATAGTCTACTTGTGGAACTTGGTTCTTATATCCTCACGCCCCTGGGTAGCGAGACAAGGCATGTACATTCTACGAAAGTCGTACATCTCACATGTAAGTACTTATTTATCCCTGAACCATGACATATGTGCTGGGTTCGCCGTAGGATACGGCGTCTGCTTGCGCCTGCTCGGCAAACAGTGCTTGCCTTTTTGAGAGGTATCAATGGATACGCAGCCCTCGCCATGTTGCCATGTGGCTATACGCGTGGCAGGTATGCGCGTTTGCTGACTTGCATGTCTGCCCGCGTTTCGGCGCATCGAATGGGCAGACAAAGTCACCCGGCTTATGTTTCCATCGCTAGGCCTGTCATGTACACCAAACGTCCCCTGGCCAACGTGCCACATGACATGTGATTCTATCCAATGCAACTTTGCAAAATCAAACTGTCATGCTGCGAGTTCAGACTGGTGTATTTGGCTCTCGTGACCCGTCTAGTTCCTGGGAGCGGGCCGGCACCCAGGTGTCCTGGGCCTTTTTTGTCCGCCTTTGTTGGGGAGCTCCTGCGGACTGGTGCTGACTCTCGCTCGCTTTCCACGTCTCATGAAGAAGAGTGCTGCGATGGCCCCGATGGCAATAACACCGACGGGGATGTCTACTCCTTTGCTGATTGTGACGGCGTTGTTGTTGTTGGGGTCTGGTTTTGGAGTTGGTGAAGTTGTCTGAGAGGCTGAGCCTGCAGTTGGAGCGATGGTCTGGTATCCGGATGGTGTATGTTCTGGGCCCCATGAGAGAGTTGTTGTTGCGGGACCGTTGGCAATATTGGCGTTTTTGTCCCGAAATTCGCCCTTTTTCTGACCGCAGCACGCGATGCCATCCTTGTCGGAGCAGAATGAGCCGTCGCTACAAATCGTAACTTGGGAAAACCGCCTGGCGGATTCGTCTGTCTTGACCACGTCTTTTGCGTCCACGGCGTCAGTTGCTTATGTCAAGGTTGGTAAAGTATGGCTTCGCTCTCAAAGTTGTACCCAAGGCCCCGCCGTCGAGACCGTGTAGCTGTGCCGATTGGTATAATTCACCAGACATGCCGTATTCGCAAATCTGGGGGCATAGGCCCTTGCCCCAAGGTTTGACTGCACAAAGCCCCCTGATAAAAGGACCAGGTCTGTCTTCAAGTTTGTGATACAGGCGGTTCGATAGACATGTGGCATCGACGCCGCCGCATGCATCAGATCCAGGGCATCGAGTATTATTCGCCCAGGCGGATCCGTCGTGGCCGTAGCAAGTAATGACCTCATTATATCCGCAGCACGAACTGTGCCTATCACTGCCGCCAACAGCCCAAATACTATGTCTCTTATAGCTGGCATCTTTTGGCGCGGGGTTGAACGTGAGAAGCTGGCAACGATGCGATGCCCCCGTACGGCTCGGTGAATGCAGGCTTCATTATAACTGCTTGGTCGCTCTCAGCCAAACCGGTCAGATAATAATCACAGGGATGCGGCCCGGGGTGGAATAAGGAGGCCGAGCATGCCTGGGCAACCTGGGTTCGCATTATGACGGAACCGAGTGCAGTCCACGAACAGGTCAGCAATCATGATCTCGACTTGCAACTCATATTTCATTTGGTGGTTGAATAGGAAGACCAAGTAAAAATGAAGGCTCCATGACTTTGAAAATGAAATGTAAACATTACAAGTGGCTCAATTTCTTGGACGGGAGATGGCGTATTTCTGGTGCATCTGTTGATGCGGAGTCACGTTTGGCGCAGCGCTTTCGAGTCTGAGCCAGGAAGGTGCGAGTGACATCAGGCATCCGGCATCCGGCCGCCCCCCACAGTTGGCCCCTCTACTTCGCATCATCGTGAACATCTTGTCGCAGCTTGAGCATCCTCACGTCTCACCACTTTAACACAGCCGTATTTTGTGTAGCGATAACCAACGACTTGAATCTTCCGTGACCTACACTCCCGCTCCCTATCTGATTACGTGCCGCCGCGTCAGCTCCAGCTTCAATGGAGCGAGGGACAACGCCACCTCCGTCTACAACGGCACCTGTCGCCTCGCCACCGACGCCCGAAGTTACCAGACGAATCGTACGTCATTTCATCGCCATTGCGAAGCCTTTAGTCTTTTCATTCGCTTAAACTTACTGATATCTTCCAGGAAGAGAACCGATTGCGTGCCAAAGCCATCCGAGACCAACGTGAAGCCGAGCAACGTGCTGCTGGCAAGACTTCCAACACCCCCAAGTCTGCGGCTGGATTTGTTCCCACTGAACATGTTCACGTCTCCAAGCCAGTAAACGGAAAGCGCTTGTACAGTGAAATCTCTACGCAAGCTTCGTCTGGGATGGCGTCGGGGACCAACCGCGATGGCCGTAACAAAGGCGACGAAGAGGCTTTGCGCCCAGCCCGCAAATTTACCAAGTTTGTCGATTACAATATGAGCTCCATGACCGATACAAAGGGCGGTTTCTTGACAACAGAAGATGACCCTCATAACTACGCCTTGGGCGCAAAAAAGCCGGGACAGGAAGATGAGCAACGACCAAAGGACATGACTGTCCAGGAGTGGGAGCGCATGCAACTAATCCGGAAGCTTCAACGACAAAAGGCGGGACCATTTGAGCCTGGAATCAGTGTTTTAGACGATGAAGAGAAAAGGAAGAAGTGTAGAGAGTGCAAGAGCCTGGAGATCGATTTTGTCTGGGAGGAGGTCTTTCATATTTGCGTTTGCAACAAGTGCAAGGAAAAGTACCCCGAGAAGTACTCACTCCTGACCAAGACGGAGTGCAAGGAGGACTATTTCTTAACAGACCGTGAGTCTTTTTTCTTTTCTTTCTTTTCTTTTTCTTTTCTTTTTTTTTTCTTTTTTTTTTTTTTTTTTTTTTTCTTTTTTTTTTTTTTTTTTTGCTCGTATTCTTCTTACTAACACGTAACAGCCGAACTCCGAGACCCGGAGCTCTTACCCCATCTTTCGAAGCCAAACCCGCATAAATCTCATTGGCATGATATGATGCTGTTCCTGCGATTCCAAGTTGAGGAGTATGCGGTCAACACGAAATGGGGATCTGCAGAAAAGCTGGATGCAGAGTATGAAAGGCGAGAAGCACAAAAGAAGGCGCGGAAAGAGGCCAAGTTTAAAGAAAAACTGATGGATTTGAAGCGCAAGACTCGAACAGATGCCTTCCGACGACAGGCTGGTACGCTGGGCAAGTCGGGCGCAAACAAATTCGGAGATTCCATACGAGATACGAAGCATGTCCATCAATGGGGCCGCACTGTAGAGAATGAGGAGGGCATGACGATAAAGACGTGTGTTGATTGTGGCATGGAAGTTGAAGAGCTGGAATTGTAATACATTCGAGGTGCATGGAGTTGGATCAAATGGATAGATGGATAGATACCCATGGAATTAGAGTTTTTCAGCATGTGCACGTGTTCGAATAGAAATGGTGAATATGAATGAAGCCAAATACCAACATGCCAGACAACGGTATTACGTGGTCTCGAGCCTCACCGTTGAGAGAGAACCTACATCCAAAAACTGGAAGTGAACTGCGGACAACTTTCGCAGATAGCCCAAAGTTTCATATAGATCTAGGCGTCTCTGGTACTTCAGCAATGGAGTAACTGTATGTTCTGTTCATAATCCACATTCCACACATCCCTCGACACGATTGGGTCCCAGCCTCGCGTGCGCAGTCCGATGTAGTTGTTAGCAAACGCCGAGAAGAGATCGATACATGGCGCATATGCACGTATTTGCAGCAAATTAGGAATTCACACAAACTCCATGCAGCCAAATCCAATGACGAGCTCTCATCGTGTACTCTGTATCCTGAAGTCCGCAGGGAGACATGGACCCACTACCGAGGGAGGGCCCCAGGGGCGAGTTGATGCCTTACGGCCTCACAGCAAACGACGCCCTCTAATTGGCCAGCAGGAGCACTCGCATCCCAGCAAGGAACAGCAACATCGGGAGCTCAAGGTAGAGTTACACTGGCAAGTACTCGACCGGTTTGATAAACCTCATCGATTTCCAGCCCCAAAGCGCGCCACTACCGCAACCTTCAGGACATCCGGAGCCATCTTGTACGCACGCGCAACCGCCGACGCCTCGTTGCTGCCAGCATACGGCAGAGCCTGCGAACCAACCTCTCGACTGGTGTAGGCTCTCCATGAGCCCGCCTATTTAATCGAGGCGCGCCATGATGGGCCCGACCGTGGGCAACGGCGTGGGCGGGATGGAGATGGGTATGGGTATGGGCATGAGCATGCATCCAAACGGGACAAATCAACCTCAGGCGACCGAGTATACTCTGCAAGGCGTTATGCGGTTCTTGCAGACCGAATGGCATCGACACGAGCGAGACAGAAACGCCTGGGAAATCGAGAAACAGGAGATGCGAGGGAGGATAGCTCATCTCGAGGGCCAGGCACGGAGAGCAGATGCCACTCAGAAGGCCCTCAAGAAATATGTTACGATTCTTGAACGAAAGGTCAAAGACCAGGCGGCAAAGCTGAAGGGCACAGCGGCTACGGAAGCGGCCGAGGCGGCGAAGAATGACCGTGCTGCCAAAATTCAGGAGAAGCTTCGAAGTGAGTTGCGCTCCGCCATCTCCAAAGAGCCCCTATGACAATGCAGCTAACAAATATGTAGCTTCGTCGGATAAATACAGCGTACCAGGCGTTGAGGGCATCGAGGTCGAGAAGCCCGATGATGATACGCAAAGAATCGAGCTGAAGACGTTCCTCGACCAGTGCCAATCCGAATTTATGTACTTGATGATTACGCCCGCCAACCCCCAACCGCCCCGCGACTCACCACCGCTTCCGATGATTGAGGACTTGCGCGAAGTTGAACAATTTGGGATGCCACCACCCCAGCACATGGATCGACAGTACCAGATGCAACGACAGAATGCAAACCACGTCCAGGACTTCAACGTGATGAATGCGAGACAGCAGCCTCCCCAGAATGCCGGGCCTCAAATGCAGCAACCCTCGGCCAACTTTGCTCCGAAGCAGGAGCTACAGCCACAGCCGATGCTTCGATCTGCCGGCGATAATCAGCAGGCCATGTACGGGACGCCCAGCGATTGGTCTGCCCCCGTATCCGTGACGACCCGTCCCGTCGAGGAAAACCTGCCAGGTCCCAACCACGCTGCCGAGGCGCTAGGTGGTATTCAGGACGCGACGGAGTCGAGAGACAAGATTCCGCCAAATGCTGATCCCGATGGCTGGGACTTTCCGGAAGGTACCTTTCCAGAACCTGGTACTGTTCCACAGAATCCCCCGTCTGCAACGAACCGTCCCGACACCGACGTGTTTCCCAACGCCGAGTACCTGCCCAAGTCGCCCAACAGAGTACCCAGCGGTGGACATCGGAGAAAAGGCTCAATGTCAAGAAGACGCAGCGGCGAGCATGAGTTGGGACTGGGATCTAGTCAAAAGTCGGACAGTGGCAACTTCAAGTTGCGCTTTGGACTACGGGGTCATCTAGATACCGTCCGCACAGTCATCTTCTCTGGTGGTGGCAGCCCGGGAGAGCCTGAGATTTGCACGGCTGGCGACGACGGCATGATTAAACGGTTCCACATTCCCAGGCTCGACCATCCTGGCCCGTTTGCCGGAGCCGCCTCTGATTTGGATGTCATCGCCAATTTCACGCACCGTGGTCACTCCGGCTCGGTTTTGAGTCTGACATCGTGGTCGCCTGCGCCCAACTTTTCTACTGGTGGTCGTGCGCAAGGCGATGGGTGGATATTTTCCGGCGGCCAAGATGCCACCATTCGTGTGTGGGAGCGCGGGCGAGTCGATCCCAAGGCAACTCTTGAGGGGCACACGGATGCCGTGTGGGCTCTGTGCGTCTTGCCCACGACGTTGGGTGCAATATTCGGTACATCAAGTCCCTACGGGAACGCAGATCGCATACTGCTCGTTTCTGGAGCCGCAGACGGATCAGTCCGTATCTGGTCAGTGAGCGCTCCGCCACAGCTGAGCTCACCGCAGCCAGGCTCGAATCGGGGCATGACTGGCCGCGGTGGCAGAGTCCGCGGCAACTCGATGAGCTCTGGCAGTG